GACCCTAATTCTTTTATGTATGAGGAGTAAATAACACTTCCTTATTTACTTTCTCCAAACCAGTCATGGTTTTATAGACGTCTATCATATGCCCCCTTAGCCGTCTCTTTTCCAAGCTGAAAAGTCCCAGTCTTATTAATCTCTCCTCATATGGAAGCTCTTCCATGCCCCAATCATTTTTTTTGCCCTTTTCTGAACCTTTTCCAATTCTAATATATCTTTTTTGACATGGGGAGACCGGATCTGCACACAGCATTCAAGATGTGGGAGTACCATGGATTTATATAGAGGCAACATGATATTTTCTGTCTTATTATCTATCCCTTTCTTAATGATTCCCAACATTCTGTTAGCTTTTTTGACGGCCGCTGCCCATTGAGTGGATATTTTCAGAGAACTATCCACAGTGACTCCAAGATCTCTTTCTTGATGGGTAACAGCCAATTTAGAGCCCATTAAGCCCATCACTTCTCATCCTACCCTCAGTGGACATGGAGAACAATTGAACACCTTCCTCTTTATAACAGCCCTTCACACATTTGAAAGCTGTTATCAAGTCCCCTCTTGTCATCTTTTCTTAGGACTAGTTTTTTTGACCTTTCCTCATAGGTCACAGTGGTGCCTTCTGTCCTTAGAGTCTATGAATCTAGACGTGAGTAATAGGATCCACAGGAAGGAAGCCATCGGGATTGTTCCTGGTCAGTGCACCAGCTATACCGACAAGGGTTTTTTAGGATGTTATGATTTTTAAGTTTCTCTGTTACCTTTATTTACTGCCCCAACATTTACTGTAATTTGGATTCAAGGTCTGTACCAGGGACTTGCTTTTGCTTGATTTGCATCAAACAAATTGTTCTTCTTACCCCTGATTTGACTTACACACAAAAATAAAAAGGGTGTGTAAAACTCAGAACAACCAAGTCATTTTTAATATAATAACTGCGCTTACTTAATCACACTTTTTATAGTCTGTTTAACATAAAGTTACATTTCTAAATGTCATTCAATGCCTTCATTGGGGGAAAAGAGTCAATTTTGGGCTGTAGCTCTCAGACTGTAATGGTTAAAGTCTGATCCCACTTTTTCTTAGAACAAGACAACAGTACCGGGGCCAGGAGAAGAAGAGAAAAGCAGAGCAAAAGATAGGAAAATGCCATTTCTCTTTGAGGTTTGCAGTTTAGTTCTGTTAGACCAAACCCTAGCACACACAATCTTAGATGCCACTCCAGGACCCAGAAAACATTGATCAGCATAAGGCTGCTCACGGCCTTGTGTTCAACTTGCCACTCGGGTTACAGCCAATTAAGATAGCAAAGGAAGATTTGTTCCTGCTGGCTAAGCCAACTCTTACTGGAGAAAAGGCAAAGAGCGGTGGGAAAGAAACATACACAGTAGGGAGGCAACAGTAGGAACTTTAGGGTATGTCTACACAGGGATGAATACCCTGTGGCATGGCCACAGCTGGCCCAGGTCAGCTGACATCGCCTTGTTGGGCTCGGGCTGCTGGGCTAAAAATTGCTGTGTAGACATTCAAGCTGGGGCTGGCGCCCAAGCTCTGGGGCCTCCACCCTCGCAGGGTACAGAGCCCAGGCTCCAGCCTGAGTCCGAATGTCTACACTGCAATTTTATAGCCCACCAGCCCGAGCCCCACAAGCCCAAGTCAGCTGACCCTGGCCAACCACAGCAGGTTTTTTATCCCTGTATAGATAGAGCGTTGGTGAGGATGATCACATTTGGTTCCTTCTCCTCCTGTTTTGGTCAGAACATCCTTCAGGAACAAGAGAAAGGCCTGATGATGTGATGGAAATCCCTGGTTCCCTATGTGTAATAGTGATGATCATGAACCTGGTTCTTATTCTGGTTGATTATCATGATGCTCCAATTGTCCTATTATACTCTAAGCTGTCTTCTGTGCTGAACAAGTTGTGTAAAGAAATTGCCTCTTCTCTTCACAGCCTTTTCCCCACGATGCCTCGACACAACTACTGGCGTCCCTGGTGAAGTCCCTGTGTGCCAAGCATGGTATCAAGCACCAATGCAAGCCCTTGCTCGCTGCCTTAACTGATGTTGTACAGTAAGTGTCATAGGAAGAATTGGTGCAGTAGCAAGTGGCATAGTAAAGATGCATGGTGAGAAAGAGAAAAGCAGGCTGGAGAAACATAAATGGAGGACAGGGATGTAGGAGGGAAGGGAATGGATGACTCAACAGATAAGAAATGCCCTATTTCCTTTGGGTCATAGTCAAAGCTCCATGTATTCTCTGGCATGTTAGACCTAGGGCCTTGTCTACACTACAAGTTTTGGTGGGAAAATGGGAGGAGTACACGCTGCAAGGATACTTTGGGGGGCAAAAGTCTGCTCTTTCACTGACAAAATAAAACCACCTCGCTGAGAGGCATAAAGACTTCTGCGGCAAAGTTCAAGCAACAAAGAATCAGTGTAGACACTGCTGTTTGTTTTGTCAACAGAACTGGCTTCTGCCAGCATCCCACAATGCCTGCCCTGACCGCTCTGCTCACTGTTTTGATCTCTGGTGCCCTGCAGGCATGCGCCCCTCCCCTTTCAAAGCTCCGGGAAGTATCTGACAGCTGAGCATGTTGCTCCATTTGGGGAACAAAGAGCAAATCATTGGAATGCTCCTGTTCTGCCCTGCACTAGGCACACAGCGGCAGACAGACTGCTGCTGTGGGTGGGGGCGGGGCCGGGGGAGACTGCTGTGGTGCTTTGACATTGCTCAGCACGGAGAGCTCACAGAGCTGCTCAGGGTGCCACTCCTGGCAGCTGAGGAGGCTGTGGGAGAACTCGGAGGGAATCAGAGAACCATAGGCAGGCAGAGCATGCTCCTTTGGGAGAGACTGCTGTGCCGAGCAGAGCCAGGGGCTGAGGTGGGGGGGAAGTGTCCCCAGAGGTGAAAGTAAGCCAGTCCGGTCCAGTACGGCGTACCGGCAAGAGGGGAGCCCCAGGCCCTTTAAAGCGCCGCCGGAGCTCCGGCAGCCGGGCTCCCGTGGTGATTTAAAGGGCCTGGAGCTCCGTGGTGGCCGGAGCCCCGGGCCCTTTAATTCGCCCCGGGACTCCCAGCCGCCTCTGCAGCTGGTAGCTCCGGGGTGTTTTAAAGGCCCTGGGGCTCCCAGCCACAGTCGGAGCCCAAGGGCCTTTAAATCTTGAAAGGCCCCGCCTCTTCCAATTGAAGCCCCGCCTCTTCCGGTTGAGGCCACACCTCTGCTCAGGACTCCGGCGGTAAGTCCTTTAAGTTACTTTCACCCCTGGGTGTCTCCCTCCACCTGCCTCAGAATAGGTCGGTCAGCCTGCTGTCTCTCCCCCCCCACCCCCGCACTCCATTCTCCTCTACCTTCCCCCAGATGCTTCAGTAGAAAAAGCGGCTGACAATCTACTAGGTAGCCCGTGGAATGATGGGATTGAGAAACCTGCATCATGTGACACTGTGCCTGCCCCATGAGGCATTGCAAACCCTTCCCAAAGCACCCTGCAGCCAGCGTAGTGGGATAGCTACCACAGTGCACTGCTCTCTGTGTCGATGCAAGAGCTGCTACTCTGGATGCACTTTGCCAACACAAGGACCATAGTGTGGACATGCAACAGCAATTTTAATTAAAGCGCCTTAATTAAAGCGGCATGACATTTGCCGACAAAGCTTTGTAGTGTAGACAATGCCTTAAATTCAGTACCAAGGCCTCATGCTGAGACAGTGATGGGGTTAAGCATCACGTTCCCACTTTGTCCTACAAGAAATCATAGAAGATTAGGGTTGGAAGATACCTCAGGAGGTCATCTAGTCCAACCCCCTGCTCAAAGCAGGACCAACCCCAACTAAATCATCCCAGCCAGGGCTTTGTCAAGCCGGGCCTTAAAAATCTCTAAGGATGGAGATTCCACCACCTCCCTGGGTAACTCATTCCAGTGCTTCACCACTATCCTAGTGAAATAGTTCTTCCTAATATCCAACCTAGACCTTCCCCACTGCAACTTGAGACCATTGCTCCTTGTTCTGTCATCTACCACCACTGAGTACAGCCGAGCTCCATCGTCTTTAGAACCCCCCTGTGATGGGTTGGATCACAGAACCCCCCTTGGGAGCTGCCACCTGATGTGCCAAGACCACTTCTGCTCCTGCTTTCCCTGCTCCATTGGCTTAGGACTTCAGTGCCCTGCCTGGTTTGAGCCAGACTCGCTAGCCTGCTGCAAACCCAAACCCAGGGTCTGAACCATGTCCCCTAACAGCTGTAGGCTTACCCGAAAACAGCTAACAGAAGTGTCGTTGTCTTTAACACTCAGCTGCCCAACTCCCAATGGGGTCTAAACCCAAATAAATCTGTTTTACCCTGTATAAAGTTTATACAGGGTAAACTCAATTAAAAAAAAAGGAGATATTACCCTGTATAAAGCTTATACTCAATAAAAAATAAAAAAAAAGAGATATACCTATCTCATAAAACTGGAAGGGACCTTGAAAAGTCATTGAGTCCAGTCCCCTGCTTTTACAGCAGGACCAAGTACCATCCCTGACAGATTTTTGCCCCCAGTCCTTAAATGGCCCCCTCAAGGATTAAACTCACAACCCTGGATTTAGCAGGCCAATGCTCAAACCGCTGAGCTATCCCACCCCCCACCCCCGTTTATTTGCCCTCTATAACACTGATAGAGAGATATACACAGCTATTTGCCCACCCAGGTATTAACACATACTCTGAGTTAATTAATAAGTAAAAAGTAATTTTATTAAATACATAAAGTAGGATTTAAGTGGTTCCAAGTAGTAACAGACAGAACAAAGTGAATTACCAAGCAAAATAAAATAACACACACAAATCTATGTCTAATCAAACTGAATACAGATAATCTCACCCTTAGAGATGCCTCAGTAAGTTTTTTCCTCAGACTGGACACCTTCCAGACCTGGGCACAATTCTTTCCCCTGGTACAGCTCTTGTTCCAGCTTAGGTGGTAGCTAGGGGATTCTTCATGATAGCCGCCCCCTTTGTTCTGTTCCACCCATTTATATATCTTTTGCATAAGGCGGGAATCCTTTTTCCCTCTGGATTCCCACTCCCCCCCACCCCCCGCTTTCTCAATGGAAAAGCACTAGGTTAAAGATGGATTCCAGTTCAGGTGACATGATTACATGTCACTGTAAGACTTCATTACTCACTTGCCAGCATACAGGTATATAGGAAGACTTACAGGTAAAACAGAGCCATCTGCAGTCAATTGTCCTGGTTAATGGGAGTCATTAAGATTCCAAACCACCATTAATGGCCCACACTTTGCATAATTACAATAGGCCCTCAGAGTTATATTTTATATTTTTAGGTTCAGATACAAGAGTGGTACATTTATACCAATAGGATGATCACACTCAGTAGATTATAAGCTTTGTAATGATACCTAACAAGAGACCTTTTGCATGAAGCATATTCCAGTTACATTATATTCACTCATTAGCATATTTTTATAAAATCATATAGACTGCAACATCACACCCCCTTCAGGTAGTAGAAGGCTGCTATCAAATCCCCCCTCACTCTTCTCTTCGCAGACTAAATAAGCCCAGTTCCCTCAGCCTCTCCTCATAAGTCATGTGCCCCAGTCCCCTTGATTATTTTCATTGCCCTCCGCTGGACTCTCTCCAATATGTCCACATTCTTTCTGTAGTGGGAGGCCCAAAACCAGATGCAGTTCTCCAGATGTGGCCACACCAGTGCCAAATAGAGGGAAATAATCACTTCCCTCGATCTGCTGGCAATGCATATTAATACAGCCTAATATGCCATTGGACTTCTTGGCAACGAGGGCACACTGCTGACTCATATCCAGCTTCTCATTCACTATAATCCCCAGGTCCTTTTCTGCAGAACTGCTGTTTAGCCAGTCAGTCCCCAGCCTGTAGTGGTTCATGGGATTCTTCCTTCCTAAGTGCAGGACTCTGCACTTGTCCATGTTGAACTTCATCAGATTTCTTTTGGCCCAATCCTCCAATTTTTCTAGGTCACTCTGGACTCTATCCCTACCCTCCAGCATATCTACCTCTCCCCCCAGCTTAGTGTTATCTGTGAACTTTCTGAGGGTGCAATCCATCCCATCATCCAGATCATCAATAAAGATGTTAAGAACATAAGAACATAAGAATGGCCATACTGGGTCAGACCAAAGGTCCATCCAGCCCACTATCCTGTCTACCGACAGTGACCAATGCCAGGTATCCCAGAGGGAGTGAACCTAACAGGTAATGATCAAGTGATCTCTCTCCTGCCATCCATCCTGTTGTTGAACCAAACCAGCCCTAGGACCGACCCCTGGGGCACTCCGCTTGATACTGGCTGCCAACTAGACATCAAGCCATTGATCCCTACCCACTGAGCCCAGCAAGCTAGCCAGTTTTCTATCCATCTTAGAGTCCATTCATCCAATCCATATTTTTTTAACTTGCTTGCAAGAATACTGTTGGAGACCTTATCAAAAGCTTTACTAAAGTCAAGATATATCATGTCCACTGCTTTCCCCATATCCACAGAGCCAGTTATCTCATCATAGAAGGCAATCAGGTTGGTCAGGCATGACGTGCCTTTGGTTAATCCATGTTGACTGTTCCTGATCACCTTCCTCTCCTCCAAGTGCTTCAAAATGGTTTCCTTGAGGACCTGCTCCATGATTTTTCCAGGGACTAAGGTGAGGCTGACCAGTCTGTAGTTCCCCAGGTTCTCCTTCTTCCATTTTTTAAAGGTGGGCACTATATTTGCCTTTTTCCAATTGTCCAGGACTTTCCCTGATCCCCATGAGTTTTCAAAGATAATGGCCAATGGCTCTGCAATCACATCAGCCAATTCCCTCAGCACCTTCTGAGAGAGAGTCTCCTCTGCTGCTTGTTTCAGGAAATGTCCAGGGGAAGGAACAGATCAGTTCTCAGGGAGACTCTCTTTGGTGCAGTTAGATTAGCTAGTAAATATAGACTTCTTCTGCACTGACTGCTTCTTTTCAAGACTCCCTGAAAACAGAACCCTTGATTCAAGAAAGCACAAAAGAATGTGCTAAAATCCCATTGACTTCAAAGGTACTTAAGTGCTTTGCTGAATTAAGGTCAAAGTAGCTATGAGATGGTAGGCAGGAGTTTTTCTCTCTCTTTTCCAAGGTGGAAGATCCTAAGGCTACATCTACACTGACAAGTTTTTTCGCCAAAAGTTATACCACTTTTATTAAAGTGCTTTAATTAAAACTGCTGTTGCATGTGCTCACCAGCTCCTTGTGTCACTGGAGCACATCCATACTAGCAATGACACAGAGAGCAGTGCACTGTGGTAGCTATCCCACCATGCAAATGGCAGCAGGGTGCTTTGGGAAGGGTTTGCAGTGTCTCGTGGGGCAAGGATAGCGTCACATGATGCAGGTTTCTCAATCCCATCGTTCCAGGGCATCCTACTAGATTGTCAGCCGCTTTTCAACTGAAGTGGGGTGGGGAGAAGGGTGTATGACAGGGATCAGGTGTGTAAGGGGGAGAGACAGACAGTGTGTGTTGGGGGAGAGTGAGTGTGTCGGCGGCATGCTGTCTCCTAAGTTCAGACAGCCGCCAAAAGCAACCAGTCCTGAGGCAGGGGAGGGGGAAACCCCGACATCAACCCCTGATTTGCTCTTTGTTTTCCGGAGCAGAGCAGCACAGCATTGGCTGTCAGAATTGAGCTTTGAAAGGGGAGGAGATCATGCCTGCAGGGCTGTTGAGTTCAAAACAATGAGCAAAGTGGTCACTGCAGGCATTGTGGGGCACTTCTGGAGGCCAATTACAAAGATAAAAGCAAGCAAGGTGTTTACACTGGCACTTTGGCAATAAAACCTTTGGACAAAAAGCCTTATCACTCTCCTTGAGGTGGTTTTGTTAAAACCTTTGCACAAAAAGCCTTATCACTTTCCTCAAGGTGGTTTTATTACAGCGCTGCAACTGAGGAGTTTCATGGCAAAAAGTGACTTTGCAGTGTGTACTCCTCTGCTGTTTCATTGCCAAAAGCTGCCTTTTGGCAAAAAAAATCTTGCAAGTGTAAACCAGGCCTTAGGGTAGTCAGGATCAGACTTATTTGCACTCTGTGAAGTCAAATAAAATATGATCTTTACTTTACATTATGTAAACTCCAAATGAATTTGTGTGTGTTAATTTCACTTTTCAAATGACCTCCACTGCTACCCAGAATAAATAAGCAGAGGTCCTTAGTACACCAATGCCAGTTGCTGACAGTGGCCTTGTTAACTTTGCCTACATTTCAGAGTGGCAGCCGTGTTAGTCTGTATCAGAAAAAACAATGAGGAATACTTGTGGCACCTTAGAGACGAATACATTTATTTGGGCATAAGCTTTCGTGGGCTAAAACCCACTTCATCAGATGCATGGACTGGAAAATACAGTAGGAAGATATATATAACAGTACATGAAAAGATGGGAGTTGCCTTATCCAGTGGGGGGGGGGGTCAGCTCTAACGAGACAATTCAATTAAAGTGGGATATTATCAACAGGACAAAAAATCACTTTTGTAATGGTAATCAAGGTGGCTCATTTCAAACAGTTGATAAGAAGGTGTGAGTAACAGTAGGGGGAAATTAGCATGGGGAAATTAGGTTTTAGTTTTTGTAGTGACCCATCCACTCCCAGTCTTTATTCAGGCCTAATTTGATGGTGTCCAGTTTGCAAATTAATTCCAGTTCTGCAGTTTCTCATTGGAGTCTGTTTTTGAAGTTTTTTTGTTGAAGAATTGCCACTTTTAAGTATGTTATTGAGTGTCCAGGGAGGTTGAAGTGTTTTCTGACTGGTTTTTGAATGTTATAATTCTTGATGTCTGCTTTGTATCCATTTATTCTTTTGCGTAGCGACTGTCCGGTTTGGCCAATGTACATGGCAGAGGAGCATTGCTGGCACATGATAGCATATATCACATTGGTAGATGTGCAGGTGAACAAGCCCCTGATAGTGTGCTGATGTGGTTAAGTCCTATGATGGTGTCCCTTGAATAGATATGTGGACAGAGTTGGCAGTGGGGTTCATTGCAGAGGTAGGTTCTTGGGTTAGTGTTTTTGTTGTGTGGTGTGTAGTTGCTGTTGAGTATTTGCTTCAGGTTGGGGGGCTGTCTGTAAGCAAGGACTGTATAACCTTTCCTGAAGGATGATCCCTCACTCTCACAGACCTTGGGAGACAGGCCAATCCTTGCTTACAGACTGAGGGTGAAGCTGAAAACAGTTGGAGTCCAACAGAGTGCGGCTTTATGTAGTGGGAACCAAAAATGGGTCAACAAATAAATCTTTGGAGGCAGCTACGGTCATGGAGGGGGTCAATAAGGGTGAATCTGGAGGCAGTGGGTTTATACAATGTCATGGAGAGCAAGGCTGGATATAGTCACCATTTCCTTGGGGGTCATGGAGAACAAGGCTGGAGGCAGTGGGATTTTGCAGGGGTCACTAGAACCACACTCTACTGAACTAGCTGGCCCACCAGAAGTACTGCTTCCTTGGTCATTTTGGAGAGGAGCAACAGGCCGCTGAGGGTACTTTATGGCCTCTGGAACAACATGGGCAGGTCAGGGCTCTCTAAGAGCTGGGGCAACAGCTCTCACCTGCTCCCTGGGGAGCACTTGGGCCACCTCCTTCTTTTGGCCCTTTGCCCATAGCAGTCATGGACAAGAGCAAGAACGAGAGGCCAAAGCCTGTCTACAGGTAGCTAGTAACCAGCATAGAGACTCAAACCTACAATGTTGATGTTAGTAGCACCACAGTCTGAGTTAGCCAGCCCCAGAGAAAGACACCTCCTACAGCCATTTCAGATACAAGCAACAGGTTGCACTGGGATGACATCAGATTAGGGCCTTTTTTTTTTTTGGTCAGGTGGATTAGCTCAAATAGTAGAGCGCTTGCTTTGAATCAGAGTGGTGACGGCATTGATGCCTGCATTCTCCAGCCTGCTCTGCTGTGGTAGGGGGAGCCAACCCTTTTTTATTGCTTTGCTCAAGACCCTGGAACCATCTCTGTCTCAGTGGCACCAGACACTTCAGTTGAAGGTGAGAAATTAGCTCAAGCAGTAGAGTAAGGATGGTCTAATAGTGGAGGGATTCGATCGTGATTCTGGAGACCCCAGTTTCAATTTCTTGCTCAGTTGACAACTTCCTGTGTGACCATGGAAAAGGAACTTAGGGTCCGTCTGCACTGCACTGTAAGCCCAGCCTCAGACTCAGGCTCAAGCCCAAACTCCCCTTCCCTCTACACACAAGTTCCACAATCAATCACTGAAGTAAACTGCAAGACACAACTAGCACGGCCTAACTTCTAACTAATTTATTCTGTATTTGACAAAAATACATGAATGCCTGTTGTTTTAAGAAGCAGGAAAAAGTGTTAAATTGCAGAAATGAAGAAATAATCTTTAAAAGTGCAGGTGCGTCTTTTCCCTGAGGAGTGCACTGATCATTGCTATAGCTCCTTAACAAAGGCATCATGTCTTGGCTGCAGAGTTCAGGAGTTTTCACAGTAATAATCTAGTAAAAGAGGGAGACACGTACTAGAGCTTTCTTCCTGAGATACTGTGGGCAAATGAGCTACAAGAGCCTGCTCCCTTTCCCACTGTAGTCCCTGTACTACATTAATCATTACATTGTAACCTCCCATTGAATGATTTATTCATCATGTTTTGTGCTACTGAACCGCAGGGGTGAGTCCCGTGCCTTTACAGTGACGAGGTGAACTCACCCCGCACTGGATTGGGAAGGGTTAACTCCTCACTGCGGGTAGAGGAAGCCACGCACCCACGTCCCTACTGGGCATGCTCCAGGTGTAGCAGCAGTATAAGAGGGAACCCAGAGACCCCGAAGACGCACTCAACTATTGAGAAAGAAGCCTTGGCCATTAAGTGGGCCATAGAAGCTCTGTGGTATTATCTGTTAGGAAATACATTCCGACTGATCACTGACCACATGCCTTTGTGATGGTTGAATAGCATGAAGGATACAAACCCACAAATCATGTGCTGGTATCTTGCCCTACAACCATACGACTTTCAGGTACTACATCACCCCGGGAAAGTGCATGCCAATGCCAATTTGTTTTTTAGGATAGCAGGGGAGGGGAGAAAGAAAGAGCCCCCACCAGGTGCCCTCTTGAGGGGGAGGGTGTATGATGGGGTGAACTCACCCAGGGTTAACTCCTCACTGTTGGTAGAGGAAGCTACGCCCCCAAGTCCCTACCGGGCATGCTCCAGGTGTAGCAGTAGTATAAGAGGGAGCAGCCTGGCTCAGTCTGGGCTGACCACCAGAAAGGAAGGATGCTTCTTGCTGGCTCATGCCCAGGAACCACTGAAGCCCCGGACTGCAGAAGCCAGAGGCGCCGAGACCCACACGGACACCCAGATACCTGTGGATACCCCAGGGAGGTCCGGGCTACAGGGAGTTGCACCGGCCGAAGAACCCAGAGACAGTGAAGATGCACAGATCACAGACGGGAGTGACAAGGTAGCAAGTAGCCCGGGGAGGGACAAGTCATTGTCCTCAGGCGGGTCAGTATGTTGCGGATGGATACCGGCTGACCCAGTGGCGGACTCACTCACCACTGCAAGGGCCCTGGGTTGGGACCTGGAGCAGGAGGGTCTGGGGTCTCCCTACCTGGCCGCACCCCCCCTTCTGGGAGGCGGCCCACACTTCTCCCCACCCCAAGCAGCCACTTGATCCTACAGCTCCGCTCAGAGGGCAACTTTATTGACTGCCGCCACTAACCCATCCAATGCTGCCCAGAGGATGACTTTATTGACTGCAGCTGCTAGGCCCTACAGCCCCACCCAGAGTGCCACACTCTTGACTCTGGTCGCTGGGCCATACAGCTGTGCCCAGAAGGTGACCCTGTTGGCTCCAACCACTAGGTCATACAGCCCCGCCCACAGGGGTATCTCCATCGACTCGGGTTGCTAGACCTGGATGCCGACGAGCCCAGGGGATCATTAATGACTCTGGCTGCTACACCTTACTGCCCTGTAGACCCAGGGTATCTCTATTGACTTTGGCCATCGGGTCTTACTGCCTTGCAAACCCAGGGTACTCCTATGGTCTCTGGACGCTAGGCCTTACTGCCCGGCAGAGACGGGCTATCCCCCAGACGAGGGTCACATGACCCTATTCCCCTGTGGAGCAAGGCAATTCCATAGACTCCAGCCAGTGGGCCTTAAAACCCTGTGGATCAGGGCATCTCTATGGACTCCTGCCCTTAGGTCTCATGGCCTGGAGACCAAGAGCAGTGGACGGGGTCTCTCCCACCCCATCACATGCACATAAAGCATGCCTTGTAAGTATCATGAGAAAGGTTATGTTCCTTTGAAACCCACTGTTCCAACTAAATATGTATATCAGTAATGCATATGAAGTTTTGAGAATTGTGTTGTATGGTTGTCACCAAAATATGTTGTGGGTTTGGGAAGAGCCAGATATTAGCTCCATCAAAGACAATAGCAAGGGAGGTAACCAATGCCCGGGCAGGTGTCAAACAGACATCACCAGCCATTGTCCAGCAGAGGAGTTACAAATCAGTGACTCACTCACAGGAGACACCCCACGGGGTATTGCTTCACCTTGCAACTCAGCAATGCCCACCAGATATTCCTGGTGGATTTATGTTCTCCAAGCACAGGGACTAAGGGTATAACACACAATACAGGTGTGGTGGTTAAGGACAGTCAGGAGGAGGCACCAGTTTGTTATTTTCTGTTTGCTTATTTCAGGAAAGGAAGGAGGGACAGAAAAGCAGGAAAATGAGTGAAGGCAGTGAAGCCACTGTGAAGCTGGAGCTGTTTAGACTGCAGGTTGCAGAATACGAAAGGGATCCCCAGAGAATATTGGAGCTAAAGGATCTCAAGATAAAAGATAAAGAGAGAACCCGAACCAGAAACAAACACATCTAAGGGCCCCAGAACTAAGAGCTAGAGAATCTGAGGAAAAAGAAAGAGATAGAAAACACCAACTGGACCTCCTAGAGAAGCAGAACCAGAACCCACCAACCCCAACGATCCCACCACTCCAAAAATCCACAATTGGGACCATTTATGTCCTTCATATAATGAAGCAGATGATATTTCTGAATATTTGACTACCTTTGAAAGGCTGTGTGCAGTGCATGAAATCCCTTACGCCAAGAGAGTTCCTACCTTGATTGTGAAATTAACTGATAAAGCTCTAAATGTATTGAATGAAGTGCCCATTGAGGATGTTTTAGACTGTTATAAATTCAAAAATACTGTTTTGCAAAGGTTTTAGATTACCCCTGAAACATATAGAGTTAAATTTAGGAATCTTAAGAGGGATATTGTCAAGTATCAGGGATATTGGCATGAATAATGAGGGAATACTGGCATGAAAGAGGGATATTGGCATGAATAATGGGGAATATGTGAACAAAATGAAAGAATTGATGGGAAAATGGGTGAGGGGCAAAGGTGTTACAAGCTGTGGGGAATGTTTGGTCTTGTTGCTCAAGAGCATTTCCCAGGCATATAAGGCAGATGTAAAGCAGTGTCTATGGGACAAAAATGTAAAGTCTGTGGATGAGATGGCATCTCTAGCTGATACCTTTGAACAGACACAGGCATCTATTGAAAGCAAATCACCAAAAGAGGGGGTTACACCTGGTGGGAAGGGAGGGTCCCGTTTTATCCCTAGCAAGAAGGAGGGGGTTTGGGAGGCCAGACATTCCCCTCCCCAAAAAATCCCCTTACTGGTAATTCCTATCCCAAACCTTCTATCAAGACAGAGGAGCCCAGAAAGTGCTACCTCTGTAATTCCACTGAGTAGCTGTAGATGCCCAAGCTGAGGGAAAGTAAGCTCCCACTAGCCCATGTTAGTGCAGCTGTCCTCAGCACAGAGGCCCTGGAGGGAAACCAGACAGGAACACCCACATCTTACCTAGCAAGTTTTGTGGGGACCCAATACAATATTCCTTTTTGCTACGGGCCACCACACTAACAGTCCTAGCCTTGTGGTAGAAGTCATTCCCCAGTAGCATGTCCATTACTCCTACAATCAGATCACTTTCCAGACCTTCCTATGCCACGTGGATTTTAACTAGTGGCACGGGGAATCTGGTTTCACCCATCCTCCACAATCTCTACCCTTTGGCCAGGTAATATACTGGTATATATTATGCCAATATATTGGGTTCCTGGAGGAAGGGGTTGAGGCCCCAGAAACTGCTGAGGGGAATGGAGAAAGTCTCTCTGCTTCTCCTGCAGCAGAAGGTAGCAGCCTGCTTTCAGGTGGGATGAAGCTCTGAAGACAGCAGCGCAGGAGTAAGGGAGGCCTGGTATGGTATTGCTACCCTTACTTCTGCACTGCTTCTGGTGGGGAGCTGCCTTCAGAGCTGGGCGCCCCGCTAACTGCCGCCACTCTCTGGTCACCCAACTCTGAAGGCAGCACAGAAGTATGGGTGGCAATATCGTGACCCCCCTAAAATAACCTTGTGACCCCTCTGCAACTCCCTTTTGGGTCAGGACCCCCAATTTGAGAAACGCTGGTCTCCCTCATTAAATCTGTATAGTATAGGGTAAAAGCACACAAAAGACTAGATTTCACAGGGGGAGACTAGATTTCATGGTCCATGATGTGGTTATTCGGGGGTGAGGGTGTGGTGGAGTGGGGCGAGGGAGAGAAAATTCGCAGTTATCTAATTTTTTTCTCTTAACTCCAAGGGTCCATTATTGTCTGTTCCTGGGCTGAACAATGGATGGTACCTGAAGTTTGTTTTGTGTAAATAACTGGCTTGGGAGGTGCCCTCCCTGCCCGCTTGCTTCACTACTGATACTACAGTTTCCCTACAGTTACAGTTTTCTCTCTGTGTGTGTGTACACACATATGTTTCACACACACCTCATAACCATAACCTGTAGACCTCTTATAATGGACATCACATTTATGGAAGCTTGTAACATTCAAAGACCTTACTTGACATTTGTATATACAATGAAATTATATAGAACCAGTTGATTTCAATTGCTTATTCTTTGGGGTTCAGGCCCCCTGTTCTCCCCTTGGGGTGTCTGGACCCTAATTGTCACAAGCCCCCTGACACAAACCCAGATAGGTGGCATTGTGGGGGGTGGGGGTGGGGAGGAAAGTTGCATTGACTGGGGGCAACATGGAGACTGCAGGAGGCTGAATGTAAAGACGAGAAACTGTCTGAAAGAAGCTGCCAGATATAGGACATCCATATGGAACTCCTTCTATGCACACAGCAGTAGTTCCCAGCTGAGGCAGGAGCTGGACAAGGCAATAACCATCCATATCCCAGGATGCCATTCTCACTCTGACCTAGTCTTATTGAGTGAGTGTTTCCCAGTGGGAGGGATAGGATCCTTCTGGGGAAATCAAATTATTTGGACTTCTGAGGAAAGATGGGATTTCTGTGGGGCACCTGTAGATACAGGTCTTGGAGTAGGAACAAAACCCCTATGGGGAACCAGTTCAGATTCCTGGGGGAGGGTGGGGGGGAGGTGATCCCTCAGGGGCACTGGGAAAGGGTGTAAATCGTAATTAAATTTCTTCTCATTCTCTTTTCACAGCCTTTTCCCCACAATGCCTCGACACAATTACTGGAAGGTGGCCCCCCGGTGAAGTGCCTGTGTGCCAAGCACAGCATTGAGTACCACTGCAAGCCCCTCCTCACCGGCTTTGCAGACTTTGTGCAGTAAGTATTGATCTGGAAGATTCAGTGCACTAGCAGATGAGGAGTCCACAGCATAGCAAATGGGAGGAGAGCTGCACAGTATGTAGTGAGGAGATGTGATAAATAGGGCCCTGACCCAGCCAGTCCCATCATAGGAGTGTTTTACAGGGAGCCTTTCACATCTCACTCACTATGTAAAATCTAACTGCAGGTTGCTGCCTCAGAACCAAGTCATTGGTAATGACTAGTTAGCAGCTGACAGCCTAGGTGAGAATAGTTGGTAGGATTCAAATTTTAGTTCTTAATGGACAGGTGTCTGCATCACAAAACTTACCCTAATAATTGGCCCTGTTTTGCCCTCTTGCTGGAAATGTCAGCAGAGAAGCATAGGATTGAATGGACTGTAGTAAGAATTGCCCTTTGACCCCTAGAGGGGATCTTCTAGATAAGGAAGGAGGAATACTGGCAGGGACAGCATAAGGAAAATAGCTCCAACCACTGCCTGTCATACCTTTTCTGAAGAGAAACTGGACTTCAGTTTCTTGATATGAGAGGCAAAGTACTGTCACAGATCAGAAACTGGCTACAAGATAGAAAATAAAGAGGAGAGGAAATGGTCAATTTTTATCATGGCAAAAGAGGTTAGGAGTGGTTACCACAACAGCCATCGGTAGCATTATGTTTAAATATAGTAAAGATCTGTAAAAGTGGTGAGCAGAGAGCTGGTATAGTTTGCAGATGACAAATGTATTTAATTCAGTCAAGACTTTGGAATCTGACAAAGATAGGCAACATAATTGCAGATGGAACTTATGTTGACAATTGCAAGATAATGCACAGTGGGAAGTGTGACAGTGCACACCCCATAAACTATATGGAGGTGTGCTTATGAATGTGTATATGACATAACTGGAATATGTTTTATGCTATATATGCCATATAACATATCTCTGTAAAGGTTATGATCTACTGAATTTATTCATCGTATTTGTATGCATGTGTCATTATTGTATTCAAAGTTATTAATATAGTTGTTTGATTTTAAATAGCCTTAGTAAGGCATTTGGTCAGCTTCTTTCGAAAGGAATTTGCAAGTTAAGTGCCCAGTCAAGAAGCACTTAATGGACAATGGATCTTGGAAGGCTCCAATCCACATAAGAAGTCTACCTGAGGATGTTCAGGGTAGCATGCAAACAATAGCTGCTGCCTGTAAAAACTGAGTCATGCATGGACATGTGACTTGCCCAGGTGATCCAAAACTCCACCTTGGAGCTGGACTTTGCATAGGAGAGAGGAGGGGGGTCTCCACCCACAAGAGAAAGTCTATTTAAGCCCATGGGAGACCCCTCCATTTTGTCTTCAGCTGGCTCAAGAGATAGCCTCTCCACCCCCCCAAGGATACCTGAGAGAAACTGGAACAAAGGACAGTAACTACAGGGGGTGTGAGTGATTGCTGGACCCAGACTAGAAGGAGACTAGTCTGTAAAAGAAAGCTTCCTTTTACACCTCTGAGGGTGAGATTTTATCTGTTTTCAGTTTTCTTACTGTATTAGACATAGACTTCCGTGTTCCATTTTATTTTGCTTGGTAATTCACTTTGTTCTGTCTGCTATTACTTGAAACCACTACTTTTTGTATTTAATAAAATCACTTTTTACTTATTAATTAACACAGAATATGTATTAATACCTGGGGGGGGGCAGGGCAAACATATCTCTCTATCAGTGTTATAGAGGGTGAACAATTTATGAGTTTATCCTGTATAAGCTTTATACAGAGTAAAATGGATTTATTTGGGGTTTGGACCCCATTGGGAGTTGGGCATCTGAGTGTTAAAGACAGGAACACTTCTTAAGCTGCTTTCAGTTAAGCCTACAGCTCTTAGGGGACATGGTTCAGACCTGGGTCTCGGTTTGCGGCAGGCTAGAGGGTCAAACCAGGCAGGGCACTGAAGTCTGAAGCTGCCAAGGCAGGAAAGCAGGGGCAGAAGTAGTCTTGGCACATCAGTTGGCAGTTCCCAAGGGGGTTTCTGTGATCAAACCCGTCACAGGAAGAGTAATTTGAAATACACCTCTACCTTGATATAACGCTGTCCTCGGGAGCCAAAAAATCTTATCGTGTTATAGATGAAACCGCGTTATATCGAACTTGCTTTGATCCACCGGAGTGCACAGCCCCACCCCCACCCCGGAGCACTGCTTTACCACGTTATATCCGAATTCGTGTTATATCGAGTCGCGTTATATCGGGGTAGAGATGTACTCATACACCTTTGTTGGTTTCTAAGTTAACTGAAACAGTTGGAGAAGGATAATCCAGGTCTCATTAACACTGTCTGGGCACCATTGTGGATAATTCAATGGAGAATTCCGCTCAGTGTGAAGCAGCAGTCAAAAAAGCAGACACTGTTAGGCTCCATAAAGAATGGGATAGAGAAAACTGAAAATAGTATGCCGCTGTTTAAATGAATGGGAAGCTCTCATCTTGAGCACTGAATTCACTGCAGGTAACCCTATCTCAAAAAAACATAAAATGGAAATAAACATAGTTCACAGACATGAGATTAAGAAGAACAGGACTGTCTACATTAGAAAGAAGACAGAGAGGGATGTGCTAAAAGTATAAAACATTATATTTAAAACACCATGTTAAAAGAATATTAAGGTTGCAAAGTCAAACACTCAAAAGTTAGGAAATGCTAGAATGAAGATAAAGCAGTGGTCCAGCTCAAGAGCAGCAGAAGGTCCCTAAAATTGGGGGGCCAACTGGCACCTGAACCATGCCCCCCCACACACATCATCCCTTCCCCCCAAGGCTCCGCCCCTTCCCCCCATTGCTCACCCTTATGGCCAGTAAAAAGTGGGATGGGCCATGGCCCCTGGTGCCCCCTGTTCTGGCACCCATGATCCAGCTACTGGGCTGATGTAGCATAACAATTACTATAATTAATGGGTTCCCCCCTCTCTCTCCTGCAGCTCCCTGAAGGATTATGGGGAGCTCTGGCGTGATGTCTATCTGCATAAATGAGCAGCAACACCACCTTGAGACATTCTGCATACAGCAGCTGCCACAAAAATAATATAAATACATAATAAAAATGAAGCCCTTGTAAGGCTAGCAGATTTGGGGAAATGGGAAAGCCTGGCTAGTAGGGGGAGGGAGGATTGCTAGGAAAGTTTGATTCCAGGAATGATGTTTGGTTTTTAAAAAACTCATTCCTTTTCCTTCACATGCTTCTCCCTTTGCTTCTCTCTGGGGCTCAGAAATGGGGACAGTCTTCTTGTTCTGTGTTTGTACAGCACCTAGCACAATGGAGTCCTGATCCATGACTAGGTCTCCTAGCACCACTCTAATACAAGCAATACATTAAAATAAGGCCTTTGACATGAGAACAGCAGCCACTCTGTTTTATTTTATTCTCACTATCACTGCCCTGAAATATTGTCCTAATTCTCTCTGTGTTCTTTTCTATCTTAGAGTGTAATCTCTTTTGGGTAAAGTATGGGTCTTACTGCTTGTAAAGGAGCTGAATAAATCTAAATAACCATTTTCACTGTCTGTCTCTATGGACCTTGTTCTGCTCCATTCTGCCAAGACCTTCCAAAGGAGTTGGATTGACTGTAATTGACATTATTCAGCACATCCGTACTTTACACAAGTGCCCATGTTTAGTGTTTTACCCTGCCTTACCACTAGTGCTACATTCAACTGAGTCAGCAGCAATGCCTTCTGAGCAATGCCTTGGCTACACTTGCGAGTTACAGCGCTGTAAAGCCTCCCCCAGCGCTGTAACTCACTCCCCGTCCACACTGGCAAGGCATTTGCAGCACTGTATCTCCGTGGTTGCACCGCTGCATGTACTCCACCTCTCTGAGAGGAATAGCAAGTATTGCGCTGCCGCTGCAGCGCTGCGGCACCAGTGTGGCCGCCCAATGCGCTGTGAATGGCCTCCAGAATTATTCGACAGTATCCCACAATGCCTGTTCTAGCCACTCTGGTCATCAGTTCAAACTCTACTGCCCTGGCCTCAGGTAACCAACCATGTGACCC